GGATGCCAGGCCAGAACACACCTCCAGCTCCTTAGCATACCAGGCAGGCATCACATGGCAAAAGGAATGCAGAATACCCAGGAAAGAAGGTCTAGGGACAAACTGGAATAGGGACACTGAAAGCATGCTTGAAAGGTATGGTATAACTTTTGTGGACTTCCACAGACCAGGCTACTACCCTGGCAGTTAGGTGAGGGAACTGACATGAAGTGATTTAGAAAGGGGAAACTGTGGGGAATGATGGGGGTCAGGCCAAGGCAAATGCCTACTTGGAAACTGGGGCTTGCCTAAGTGTCATTTATCACAACACACCAGTATATGTGAAAGCTGGGACTAGGGTACATGACAGTAGAAGTAGGCCAGTGAGTGTTGGGGCACAAGAAGGACCATGTCAGGCTAGGCCACAGCATCTACCACAATGCAAGAGAACCAGAGCTTGAGATATATTCTGCAGCATATTTGTTGGCTTGCCCCTGTCAGACTTCAGTATCCACTAGTTTGTGCGAGAGCTGGGATTGGTGATGGGGTGACCCAGGCTGGACTACAAATTCACTCACACAGGAGCCAGGACTGGGAGCAGACCAGGTTGGGGCAGGCTGGCACATGTGAGTGCACTGGCACATGTAAGAACTGGGCCAAGGGGCAGGCTGAGCTGGGCTAGGCCACAGCAGCTGCTGGCACATGCAAAGGCTAGGTCTGGGAGCAGACCATGCCAGCCTGGGCACAGCGCCTCCCATCATGAATGAGATCCAGGGTTGGGAGTGAATACTGTGGCAGAACTTGAGGAACTCTCCCTGCTAGGCTGTAGCACATGCCAATTCACAAAAGAGCCATGGCTGGGAACAGGCCAGGCTGGGCTTGACTGCAACATCCACTGACAAGCAAGAGACTGGGGGTGCACTTGATCAAACCACAGCCAGCACACACAACATCTGAGGCTGGAAACAGGTCTGGAAGGAGAGTTTTAAAGACTCCCCTACAAGGCCTTGAGTTCTGCTGGTGAGCACAAGAGCCAGGGCTGGAGGCAGGTCAAACTGAGCAAGGCAAGCAAGTGTGAGATGGGTCGGGGGAACAACCTGAACTAGTATTCACTGGCACTACTAGTAGGAGCCAGAAAGTCTATGGAACAGGCTGGGTTTTGTTTTGGTATCCACTGGTTTACATGAGCCAGATCTGGAGGAAGGTCAGGTTGGGCTAAGCTGTAACACTTGCCAGTGAGAGCCAGAATGGGTATGAGACGATTGACCTAGGCCTCAGTACCTAACACTGAGTCATGGAACTGAGGATGGGCCATGTCAGTTTGGGCCAAAACACTCACCAGCACACATGCAATCTGGAGCTAAAAGCACTTCCTGCTAGGCCAAAGCTACAGCTGATGAGTGTGATAACCAGGGAGGGTGGCAGATCAGGCCAGGCTGCAGCACCCACTGGCACATGTGTAGGCCAGGTCTGAAGGTCACCTGGCTGAGCCAGTCCACAGCACACACTGGCATGAGTGACAGCCAGGACATGGTGCAGGCCAGGCCAGGCTGGAATGAGGCAGCACTGATCAGGCAGCTGTCTATACCAGTGGATGCATTGAGTGATGAAGATGACAGATTGCCCCTGACCTGCACTAGCTGGCACATGCAAAAGTCAAATCTGAGGTCACTCAAGGCAAGGTTTCTTGGGGATCCCCCCAATTAGACTGCTGGAAGCAAACCTAGGCATCAGCAAAAAAAAAAAAAAAAAGTCACAGGATATGTAATCCAACCTTGGAACTGGGATTCCTCAGTTGCTGATGCCTGTGCAGTGGACAGCACACTCAAATGCACACCAAAGACATGGCAGTCAGCTCATCTAGGCTATCAGAGGACATTAGTACCTCATCAAAGGCAGAAAGCAGAACAGGCAGCAACTGCCAGGGTCTGTGAACGTACTAAGGTGGACTTGGCAAGCCAATAGTTCTTGGAAAGAGGTTCCCAACCCCAGTGCAATGAAGCAAACAACATCTAAAAGCTATCAAAACCATTCAAGAAACACCCTTGGAACCATTCTTCCCTACATCATGGTCTCTAAGTTGACACTCATTTTTTATTTCTGATACTGGTAGCTTATATTGGTAAATTATATGATATTGGTAACTCTCTCTGTCAGGTTCGGAAGGGGCTTATCAATTGGGTTAATCTTCTAAATAGGGTAGGGAGTATCTGCTCTATGGACCATACATGGTCCATGGAATTACTTGCTCTGGTATTGCCATTTCTGCTGCAGAAAGAAATCAAAATTCAAAAGGTCCATGACTGTTAAGTTGATAAAACTGTGTGACTCACAAAGGATGTTATAAATATCCAAATGGCTCATGGCACAAAAAATGTGTCCACCTCAATAAAAGCAAACACGTCTTTTTGTTTTTTTTTGTACAGTACCACTAATTTCTATGTCATTGATTTCTGTTCATTTTTTAAGTTTCTTTTATATTTTTGTGTTTATTTCTCTGGTTATGGAGCTTCTTCAGATAAATTATAGATCATTGATTTGCATTTTATTATTAGCATATAAGACTACTTTGAAATTTGTGGATAATGGGATTGAAAGATAAATTCATTGATTTGAGTTAAAATAGTGTTGAAATGCATAGCTATTTTCTTGTGGTACTTAGAGAAGTTTATTTTAACTGGACAATTTGTATTTGGGGGGAATTATATTAAAGAGAAAATATAACTAAAATGAGCTTTGTCTTCAGATTGCAATTTTGATTTTTGAAGTTACACTTGAAGAACTGTTCTTTATAATTTGTTTTGAATAATCTGACTTCTATTGACAATAAAAATCATGAAAGTTAAAGGTAAATATTCCATCAGAAACATGAACATTGTCAAACACAAAATTGTGTGCTGTAGAGATTTTTTTCTGACAAACACATAGGAATCTACTACTTTTTAATTTTTCATGTTACAGTCCCACAGGCTCAGGGATTTCCACGCTTCACTCCTCCCTCCCCCTCCTCATATTATTACAATGGTATAGTCCTTCAAACACAGTCACATGTCCATCATTCTGCTATTTACATGCATCATGACAATGGTAGAAAGTCCAGCTTCCTATTGTCAAGATACATTTAAGTTTCATTGGGAGTCCATCTTTTATCTGGGAGTAGAGATGCATACTGCAACATACCTTCACTTCTCAGTATACTAGTCTCTATTGTATTGTCCATCTGAGAGAATATGTGTTTACCCATTTATCTATTGATCTTGTATTTTGTGGGAAGGTTGCCTTATTTCAGAGAACATATATTTGTCCTCATAGGATTGGCTTAATTCACTAAACATAATGGTCTCTGGTTGGGAGTATTGTGTCACAAATGGTAGAATTTTTATTCTGTTTAAATTGCTAAATAGAATTCCATGGAGTAGATTTGCCACAGTTTCTTTATCCATTCCTCTTCTGATGGGCATCTGGGTTGTTTCCATGGCTTCACTATTGCAGACTGTGTTGCTGTGGGATTACAGGTCACTTTCTCTTACACAAATTCCATTTCCTTTGGATATATTGCCAGAAGTGGGATAGCTGGGTCAAATGGCAGATCAGTTTTCAGTTGTCATAGCACTTCAGTACTGACTTCCATAATGGCTGTATTACTCTGCATTCCCAGTAACAGCGAAGTAGGGACCTTTCTCCCCCACAGTCATTTTTTGAACTCTGTGTTTTAGGTACCACAGATCAGAGAAAACATAGTTTTTTTTTTTGTTTCATATGCACTGGCTTATTTTCCTAAGCAAAATGCTTCCAGTTGCACCCATTTTATTGCAAATAACAAGATTTCATCCATTTTTATGGCTAATATACTTTGTGTATATATGACATTTTCTGTATCTAGTCAACAGCTGTGAACATCTGGGTTGACTCCATGCCTTAGCTATTGCAAGTTGAGCTGCTTCATGGAATTACAGATACCTTTGTCAAATACTGATTTCATTTCATTTGAATTAATTCCCAGGAATGGGTGGATGGGTCATATGTGGTAGATCTATTTTCAGATGACTGAGAAATCTCCATACTGCCTTCCAAAACGATAGTACCAGTTTGCATCACCACCAGCAGAGGGTTGGAACACCATTCCCCTGACCTCCATATCCTCACAGCATTTATTATTTTCACATTTCTGTATGGTAGTTATTCAAACTGGGTTAGGTAAGATATAATTGTAATTTTTATTTGATAACTTACATTTTTTAAAGTTTTAATTTTTTATTTCTTTTGGTTTTACTGAAATATTTTATTTTAATCCTCCTATCACTTATTATTTTGATATTTATTCTTGCATTAACAAGGTAAAAGCTTCAACACACATGCTCCCCTAAGGAGGCAAGGATCTTACTATAATTTGTTTCCATTTTCCTCTTTCCACCCTTGTATTATGTGTTTTAATTCTTCAGCTTTTCATAAACCTCACAAGGTATTAGTACTATATTTTTAAGAAGTTTTCATACTTAATTTTTACCCACATAATTACAATTTCTTATATTTTCAGTCCACCCTGAATTTGCATGTTTCCATTTTTATTATTTACTTGTTCCCAATCATTTTGGGGAAAAAAAATGTTTTAAGGTTCTCATAGCGTCACATTGCTGGAAATGAGTACTTGCTGCTTTTGTTTGTTCCAATATCTTTTCATTTCATTTCCATACTTTTCCTGAGTATTAAATTCTAATAAATTTTGAATGATACTTTTTCTGGGTATAGAATTCTAATTCTAGTAACCTATTTTCAACACATTAAAGATATGATTCCATTGCTTCTGAATTTCATCTCATTTTAATAATTCAGATATCAATCTTACTGTCCATTCAGTGTCATTGCTTCACTAGCACACAGAGGCAGGAAGGAGAAAATATTCATAAAGAAAATCAAAGGAAACAGAGCAGTGGATGAAACCTGAGATTATTTTTGCTCTTTACAGCATTTGTATTTTGATTTGCTTGTTATAGTTTATTAATAGAGACTTCCTCTCCTAGAAATATACATCAGAGAAAATGCCTAGTATCTACAAATCTGTGACCATCAACACTTCCAAGGAGATGATGTGTTTCAGTGACTTCCCTATACCTGACCATTTTCCCAACTACATGCACAACTCCAAGATCATGGACTACTTCAAGATGTATGCCAAACACTTCGGCCTTTTGAGCTACATTTGTTTTAAGGTAAAATCTAAATTAGTTATTGTATAGAAGGTATGTGTTTGAGAGCATGTGTCAGCACATTCACTTGTGCGTCCATGAACGTTATATTTGGCATCCTTCCTATTATTAAAACTCATTAGGACATATCTATCCTGGAAAATTATTGTTTATAGAAAAAGTAGGGTTTACAAGTTTTCACTTAAAGGTGAGGTTGTAGCATTTTGCTCAGCAGAATCTATTCTGATACTTCAGTGTGATATTAGAAGTGTTGTTTTTCTTAGCCTTAGATTAAAAATATTTAAGGATCTTCAAATTAGAAAACCTAATTGAACCAAAATATCTTTTTTAAGATTTATTTATTCTTATTGGAAAGTCAGATAGATAAAGAGGAGAAGAGACAGAGAGGAAGATCTTCCGTCCGATGGTTCATTCCTAAGGGGCTGCAATGGCTGGAGCTGAGCCAATCTGAAGCCAGGAGCCAGGGGCTTCTTCTGGGTTTCCTACATGGGTGCAGGGTCCCAAGGGTTTGGGCCGTCCTTGACTGCTTTCCCAGGCCACAGGCAGGGAGTTGGATGGGAAGCAGAGCTGCCAGGATTAGAACCGGCAACCATATGGGATCCCGGGTGTTCAAGGCGAGGACTTTAACCACTATGCTTTCACACCAGGCCTGAGCCAAAATATCAAGGTTGTAAACAAAAAGTCATATGAACAATACAAGAGAGCTTCCAAATCCATAGTGTTTTCACACTCTACCACTCTTGGTCCAAACTCATACACATACAATCATTTCTCCAATACTGGATCATTAATTCTCTGAAATTAAAGTTGAAAACAAATCCAGGAAAATCCAGGAAGGCTATTTTATCCAAAAGTCTTTATGGAAGGAAATATTTTCATCACTCTCTTTTATTTCACAGTTAAATTTAAACTTCCCTATTGATATGGGAACTTGCACTTCAATGAATGTACATAGCATTCTGAGATTTTTACCTACAGTAAAGTTACTGTGGAGGTGGGCAGGAATGGGAAGTGAGTGAGTGTGACTACCTGCAGTGAGTGAAGCTATGCATTTTTATCGGATAGGGAGTGGGGATGTGATTAATCGTGATTATGATAGAGTGTCATCTATGTTTGTGTCCTTGGTTTCAGACCAGAGTGAGGAGTGTGAGGAAGCATGCGGATTTCTCTTTCAATGGAAAATGGGATATTGTTGTGGAGAGGGATGGGAAGCAGGAGACTCTGGTCTTCGATGGGATTTTGGTCTGCAGTGGACACCACACAGACCCCTACTTACCACTTCAGTCCTTCCCAGGTACGTCTCTAGGCCTCTACTGGTGGAAAAGTACTTTACAAACAATTTATAAAAAAAAATGATTAAGTATTATGACTTTTCATTTGAGGAGATGCATGGTAGCTATAAAATGGAGGCTAACATATCCAGAAGTGAGGATACAATGCAGTATGTATCTCTACTTCCAGACTAAAAATGGACTCCCAATGAAACTGTTCATTATATCTTCACAATAGGATGCTGGACTCTCTGCCATTGTCCATGCCCACAGTGATGGACATATGGCTGTGTTTGAAGAACTATACTTTAGTAATGATATAGAGGAACTGGCAGGGTGGGAGAAAATGGGGCTGGGATAAGGGAAATACCAGGAGCCTATGAAACTATCATAAAATGATAATAAACAATGATAATAATAATTTTAAAATATGAATGGGTAAAAAAAGAAAAATGATTAAGTATTAATTATATGACTGGCATTGATGAAATTTCTCTGGTAACTTAAGTAGTAAAAATCTAGCTTCTTAACATTTTTTGTTAACAGGAAAACATAGTCCATTGAAATAAAAATGGCAAAGATAAAAGTGTCTAATTTTTACTTACAATGGTCTTGTCAAATTTTTATGGTTTAACAATTATCCCTTATGCACATTGTTTAGATTTGTGTTCATTCATTTGATTTTACTTTCTCCCACAGAAAATGAATTATTATAATAAAGACTAAATGATAACAAAAAAAGTAAAATGTTTATTGTTCCCTTTTAATCCCATGTTGTAAAATGGTCTCCATCTCAGAAAAGACTATTGTTAACCCACCTACCTACTAACTAACCCTTCTGCTCTCACACTGGCTGCCTTTGCTGCCCCTTCCCCTCAGTTGCTATCAGCAGTCAATCACAAATGTTTCCATGATGCCCAACAAGGCTTCATAAGAAACTTATTTGAGGTAAATTGAAAATTTAGATGGAAATAAAAAGATGTAAACTTGAATTGTGGTTATTCAGCTAAGTCGCTATGTAATGTTTAAACATTAGCAAAATCGTCTGTAAAACAAATATGTCTTATTTTTCAGAATGTTAGAATGCAATGTATATTAAAATGTTTGTAATTGTTATCACTTGGCCTATGGATCCCATTAATAACCATTGCATACTATACTTAACATTTTCTTTTTATTTGCTTCTTGGCTGAGATACTCCCCATGGAAAGACCCATGTATGTTTGGATAGGATTAGAGGGAGAGATGGAACCATAAACATGCAGAGTGTGACAACATTGGAAGGTGCCCAGACTGGGGTCTCTTACTCAGTCTTTAACAGCACCAGGGACATAATGGGGAATCCGGTGTTTGAAAGGCAGAGAGATCTCAGCCTGAAGAATAAAGTTCCTATAATCTCCTTAGAGAACAGTTAGACAAAGAAAACAACAATATGTTTTCTTCTGCATCATTTTGCTTTAAATTATATGGGACAGCATAATCATGAATAAAACTGAATTACTGAGACATTGTTGTGAAACTTTGATTAAAGCAGACAGATATATATCATTCACTAAATGCCTTTTGAGGTTACTATATAAATCCTAGGATAATAATTCTAAATTTATGCTCTCTTTCCTTGATCTTTGGTGTTAGTTTTAGAAAAGAGGTGATATTCAATTCACCAATCTAGACTCAAAGTTTTGAGATTATTCTAGATGTGTGATTTGTATGATGAAAAATAGTTGTTGAAGATTTATTTTAAGGTAGGAGTTATAGCTAGATAGAGGAAGAGACAAAGAGAGATGTATCTTTCATCCACTCCTTCACTTCCCAAATACTGGCAAGGGCTGAGGCCAGGCCAAGCCGAAGCCAGGGGCCTGGAGCCCTAGCTAGGTCTCATATTCAGATTGATAGCAGAGTTCCAAACACTTCTGATGTTTTTTTGGGTATGTTAGCTAATAGCTGGATCAAGAGTGGGTGTGCTGAGACTCAAACTGGTGCCCTTGTGGGGTGTTAACACTACAATCAGAAGCTTAACTCATTCTGCATGACATCAGGTTTCAAAATCACTTATTGATTGATTGATTGATTGATTGATTTTTTATTGCAAAGTGAGATATACAGAGAAGAGGAGACACAGAGAGTAAGATCTTTCATCTGATGATCCACTTCCCAAGCGGCCGCTATGGCTGAAGCTAAGCCGAGCCAAAGTCAGGAGCCAGGAGCCTCTTCTGGGTCTCCCACATGGGTGCAGGGTCCCAAGTTTGGGGGCTGTCCTCAACTGCTTTCCCAAGTCACAAACAGAGAGCTGAATGAGAAGCAGGGCTGCTGGGATTAGAATCAGTGCCCTTATGGGATACCATGCTGGGCCCTCAAAAGCACTTCTAATAAATAATTCTCTTCTTCCATACAGGCATTGAAAAATTTAAAGGCTGTTATTTTCACAGTCGGGAATACAAAACTCCTGAGGAATTTTCAGAAAAGAGAATCATTGTGGTTGGCATTGGGAATTCTGGAGTGGACATCGCAGTGGAACTCAGTCGTGTAGCCAAACAGGTTTGTTTTATTTCAACAACTTCACTAACGGGATCTCAAACTTCACTACTAGAAACCTATGCACCCATGAGCACCATCCAGAATGCACGTTTGGCTTTCTGGGAAGGAAAGGGAAATCTATAGGTTCTGACCAAAGATGCTTTCATTTGTAGAGAGCAAAGGATGAAAGCAAAATTGTTCTTTCATGCCCACTGTAATAAATATTATTAATATTAATATCCCCTACAAAATTAATATTGACTTAAGTAATTGAGTGAAACATTAGAATAGATCAAATAAGATGTTAGATAATGGATTTGACATTCTCCTACTACAATAACACCTGGATCCTAAAATAGATTTGAAAAAACAGAATAGGCAAGAAATGCCTATTAGCATATTATTATAAAGTGAGAAAAATTCACATATTTCACAATACAGATGTGAAAGCATAGTGATACTTTCCATCACCCTTCCTCCTGCTCATGTTCTCCACCTACTGTCTTCCTTCCTTATGTCTTTTTATTATTATTATTATTGCAAGGCCATATATTCATTTAACTGTGTAATCACAGGCTTAACATTTTGACAAATAATTAGCAAGGAAAAACAAACATACTATTATTTAGAGTGTAGACAAAGGCTGAAAACAATAATCAAATTGTTGCACTGGTGCCCAGACAACATCATGAGGCCTGGGAACTCACACACATGCTTGGGTCCAAGATGGCCAGGAAAGGTGGTATTGGAGCCCCAGGCTGGCATGATGGTGTGGTGTGCTGGCAAACCAGGCTCGGGGACTCATGAACATGCTTGAGTCCTGGGTGGGCAAAGAGGTAAGGCCTCAGGCTGGCATGCATACCAGAAGTCTCATTTTGGGGACCTGTGTATGCACTTGGGTACCAGAGCTTCAGACCTGGGGTGACCCAGCCCATTCCATATCCAATTTTTGGTGCACCAGGCTGGGAAACCTATGCACTTATGAATGCTAGAGCTGTGGGTTGCTCAGGAAAGGAAGTATGGGATGTGCAGAAGAGGGAACCACTGAAGGAGTATCTTGCTGGTGAGGAATGACTTCTAAGAGACTTCCATCAACAAAGCCATTGTACTTGCAGGTAAACAAGAGAGCTAAGACTGAGAGGTTTCAAGGAGGAAACTAGAGGATCTTTCTCAGTTGGACCAATGTATCTATCCACATAGGAGACCAGAACTGGGCAAGTTAGCATTGACCACTGCCCACTGCCTACTGGTGCACATGAAAGCTAGGACTTAGAGGGCCTACCCAAAAGGAATAGATCACAGTACCCGCCAATGAGTGTCAGACAACGGATGGGTCATAATAGGATGGGCCATGACACTAAACAGCGCATGAGAGTTCCAGGCTTGGAAGCAGATTCTTTGGAAAATATGTGGGCTTACTCGTGTAAGACTTAACACCAACTGGTTTGCTCAAGAGCTGGGGTGGTAACAGGCCAGTGGAATTCACCAACACTCATGGGTGCTGGAGTTGGGAACAAGCTGGGCTGGTCCAAGTTGCAGCACCCATAGGTACATCCAAGAATTGGGCATGGGGTGGGCTAGGTTGCAACATCTATGAGCACACACAAAGGCCAAGACTGAGAGGTGGGCTACACCAAGTAAGGAGGGGCTAGCACCCACTGGAATGCATGAGATCTGTGTCTGGGAATAGACCTAGTGGGAGAACTTGGAGAACTCCTCTGGTGTGTTGTAACTCCTGATGGCAAGCACATGATTCAGGGCTTGGTACTTGTCAGGCTGGACAAGGCTGCTGCATTTGTTGGCAAGTGCTTGGGTTGTTTCTGGGCTAGAAGAGAGGTGGAGCAGTTCAGGATCAGACCAAGCCATTGCACGTTGCCACACATAGGAGCTAAGAAGGTGTAGCAGGTTATACCAGGCTAGACTACCACACCCACTGGTTTGTATGAAAACTACAGATAGAGGCAGATTGGGTAGGGATAGGCTCTAGCACTTATCAGTGAGAGTTGGGACTGAGGACAGGACAGGCAAGGCCAGGCCAGGCAACACAATCCGATGGCAAAGGCCAAGACAGGGGCAACTTATGCCGGGCTGGGTCAGAGCATCCAGTGGCATGCTCAAAATTTATGGCTGGGAGCAGGCCTGGTGAAGGAGCCAATGGGATGACCTAGCTGGGCTGTGGTTCCCACTGGTGAATGCAAGAGCTGAAATAGAGCATGGAACTGACTTGGACATGGCTGCAGCATCCCTTGACATCTCCTTTTGCAGCAGAGCCAGTGTCCACTGCTCTTTTTCATTAAATAGAATATGTTCTTGGAGGCGAGTCCAAGGACTCAGGCCAGGCATCCCAAGCATCCCCCACACCTGGAGCTCATGAACCCGATACCCACCTAGTAGATGGGTCCCAGAACTTAGGATAGGAGACCCAAGTCCCACTGATCCCCCACTCTGGGATTCATGAACTCAACACCCACTTCATAGGCAGGACCCAGGACCTGGGCTTGGTGACCCGAGTCCCGCCAAATGTCCCGTCCCCAGAGCTCAGGAACTTGGCCACCACCACACAGGTGGACCCCAGGACCTGAGCCAACCCACTCTAGCCCTGTCCCTGGGACTCACATAATTGGCCCCCAGTTGACCCTAGGCTAGCATGACACCTTGCCTCAGCGTCTGCAGTCTTACTGCGCAGCCTGGCCTCATGTAGTGTGCCCTCTGTTTCTTTTGGTGGGTACTATAGCCCTATCCAGGCCCAGTCTGATTGCTGTCCTGGTCCTAATGTGAACTGGCTGGTGTCGTAGCCTGATCTGGCTCTTCCTGACCCCTGCCCTGGTTCTCAGATCTGCCAGTGGGTGTAATGCTGGCCCAGACTGGTCTGCACTGAGACTTGACCCATATGTGTACTGGCGAGTACTGTAATCTGGCATGGTCTGGGCTGCTCCTTGCCTTGCTTGTTGCACTCACCTGCAGGGACTGCGTCCTAATAAAGGAGTTTCCCAAGCTCCTCCATCAAGTCTCCTCCCAGTGGCATTCACGTGCACACCAGTGGATCATTGGCCCAGGTTGACTTTGTCCACCTCTTGTCCAGGCAAGAACAGTGGCCTCGCTCAACCAGCCATACCCATTCTGGTTCTTGTTGTTGGCTGCACCCAGACACAGCTTTTATTGTTTTAAAAGATGCTGAAAAAAAAAAACTATAATCAAATCTCAAGATGTCACTCTTGCTCATATAGATTATATTTTTTGTATTCTATATATTAGTTACCAGAGATCAGGAAAAATACATATTTGTCTTTGGAACTGGCTTATTTCTCTGAACATTATAGTTTGCAGTTATACCCATTTTATTGCAAAATAATATTTTATTCTATTTTTGGCTGAGTAGTATCCCATAGTGTGTTTGTACAAGTTTCTTTAGCTAGCCATTTGCTTTGAGTCATCTTGTTTGATTTCATATATTAGCAATTGTGAGTTGAACTGCAATGATCAGGGGGTATCAGTATCATTCTCATGAGGTGATTTCATTTTATTTGGATAAATTCCCAGGAGTGTTATAGCTGAATCATCTACTTTCAATCTCTGAATAATCTCCAGACTGTCCTCCATAGTGGTTGTATTAGTTTAATTCCCACTGAGAGTAGATTAGAGTACATTTGCCCCCACATCCTTAAAAGAATGTATTGTTTTGGGATTTTTGGATAATAGCCATTCCAACTGTTGTGAGGAGAAATCTTTTGTGGTCTTATTTGCATTTCTCTGATGGCCACAGATCCTAACAATTTTTTTCATATGTTTTGTGATACTTATTTCATTCTTTGAAAACTGCCTGTTCATGTCCTTTGACTGTTTATTATTATTATTATTATTATTATTATTACACATTTTCAGCTTTGTAGCTATAGGGCTTCTCCCTTCCGCTCATTTCCCTTCCTCCCTTCTCTCCCCTCCCCATTGTCTCCTGTATTTTACAATAATATAGTCCTTCATTTGTAATCTTGATTCCAACTTTGTGCTGTCTGTATGAGTCATGACTCTGTAAGTATAAACAATGGTACAGAGTCTAGTATTTTGTTATCAAAGTACATTTAACAGTTTTATTGGGGGGGCTATTTTTATTTCAGAAGTAGAGATGTATAATGCAGTTATTCTTTGTATCCTGGTACTCCAGTCTCCACTATACTATCTATGAGATTTAAAGTGTATACTTGTTTACCTAGATATGTTTTTGTTTTATATTTTGGGGGAAAGTTGTCTTATATCAGAGATAATGTATGTCCTTTCTAACCATTTCTTAACTGTACTGCATGTTTTGTTGTTGTTTGAGTTTCTTGGGCTTTGTTGGGAACCTGGATATTAATCTTCTAGAATTTGCACAATTTGCAGAATTTTTTCCTATTATGTTGGAAGTGCTTTGCTTTGTAGGCATTTTCCTTTGTGGTCAAGGAGCTTCATAGCTTGATATAATCCACATACTTATCTTTAATTGCACCTGTTTCTGTGTTGTTTTCCAAGAAGTCTTTGCCTATGCCCCAGAGTTTCTCTGATGATTTCCTCTAACAATATTCTTTTCATTATGTATCACTGCTGAAAGGTTAGCCAAAATATGTGATGGTGAAGGTGATTTCCACTCATGCCCATTGGGAGTTCTATGTACTTCCTGCGTTTGGATGTCCTTTTCTTTCTCCAAACAACTAACTAAGCTTTCCAATCCATTCTTTTTTTCCTGCACTTTCAGAAACTCCTAGGATACATATGTTTAGGCACATGGAAGTCTCCCATAAATGTTTTGAGTTTTGTAATTTTTTACTTATTATTTTTGTTGGACTGGAATCTTTCCAAGGATTTATCTTCCAATATCTTAAATATTCTTATTCCTGTTTCCTCCAGCCTTATGAAAGCTTTCTATTGTATTTTCTATTTGTCATATTGAATTATTCATCTGTATGATTTCCACTCAAAATCTCATTCTCTTTGCAGAATCATTCATCCATATCATGTATTATTTTCTTCATCCCAACTTATTTCTG